AATTTTCCTTTTTTTTTTTAAAGATTTTTTTTTGAATATTGAGATTTTTTTTAAGATTTTATTTATTCATTTGAGACACAGTGATACAGAGAGAGAAAGCATGAGCAGGGAGAGAGGCAGAGGGAGAAACAGGCTCCTCGCTGAGCCAGGAGCCCGATGTGGGGCTCGATCCCGTGACCCTGGGATCATGACCTGAGCCAAAGGCAGACGCTTAACCATCTGAGCCACCCAGGCGCCCCTAAAGATTTTATTTTTAAGTCATCTCTACACCCAACAGGAGGCTCGAACTCACAACCCCGAGATCAAGAGTCGCACGCTCCTTGGACTGAGCCAGCTGGGTGTCCCCAAAGGAAATTTTCAACTTTAGGTTTGTGGGCCCTCCTCTTGGGTCCCGGGGAGGTGGTACGTTAACGTCTACTGAAGTCAGAAGGACTGCACCACACTTCAAAGCAGGGGCTCTAGTTCTGCCCTGAGCACACACTGAACATCTGCTTCATTAGCAAATAACCTTAAAAAAAAAAAAAAACTCAAACATAAAAGAGAAGTGTAAAGCCACCATAAGTTTCCAAAAGATGGAGCCATGCGGCCTCAGATACTAAACACACAAGACGGTCTGTAACTCTCTGGAATGTCCTTCATCATGATGATTTGTAACTTTATGTTAAAAACAAAACATACATAACCCTGCTCCAAATGCTCCTTCCCCAGAGCACTTTCTCCTTTATGAAGATTGTATATCCTGGGCAGCTATCCTAACTGGGGCTTGAATACAACTCCTTTCCTTTCTCTTTAAAAATTTTTTAAAGGTTCGTTCATTTTATGTCAACAGGTCCCTACTCAGGAAAAAAGCAGTGGATAGAGACTCTGTGTTCAGACGTTCAGTGCGCAAAGACTCGAGGCAGCTGTTACGTATGTAACCAAAGAACTAAAGGAAACCATTCTTAGTAATGAATCAAGAGATTCTCAAGTAGATGGAAATACATATTTTTTAAAAAAGATCAAATGAAAATTCCAGAGTTGAAAAGTGCAGCTACAGCGATGAACAGATTTGCTCCATGGTGGATTTCAGGGTGTAAAGAATCCAAGCACCGAATTGAGATCAGTAGACATTATCCAATACAAAGAACAGAAAGAAAAAATACGGAAGAGAATGAACAGAACCTCAGAGACGGAGGGGAGACCAAGAAGATTATCAAGATACCTGTAAGGGGAGTCCCAGAAGGAGAGAAGGGCAGGGGCTGGAGGAGATATTTGAAGACATAATGGATAGCCAAAAACTTCCCAAATTTGATGAAAAACAAAATATATAGAGGTCTATCTATACCTAGGCACATGCTGGTCGAGCTCTCAAAAGACAAGGAGAATCGTGACAGTAGCAAGAAAGAAGGGATGTACCGTAGGGACCGTTAGGGGCCCCAGGATAACAGCTGCGGGGCATGGTGGGGGCGGGAGGCCATGGAGGGATGACCTCAAAGGGCGCAAGACTGTGAACCAGGAGTTCACAGTCCACACAGTACCCTTCAAAACTGAGGATGAAACGGAGACATTCCCGCATAAAGACCGAGAACATGCTGCTACCAGACCTGTCTTCCCAGAAACACCAAAGGAGGTCCTGTGAGCTGAAAGCAAGAGACTCGGTAGTGATGAGGGCCTGTAGGAAGAATCACAGCACCAGAAATGGTCGAGCCAAGCGCTAATATCAAAGGCACGGTAAGTATATCTTCCTCTTTTCTTAATGCCTCTGAAAGACACAAGTTGCGTACAAAGAGTAATTTTGTCCAGATTATACAAAGAGCTCTTATGATTCAAAAATAAGAAGCCATCCGCTTTTTAAAAATGTGCCAGAGGTTTGAGTGGCTATTTCACGAAGAGAGGCCCTATGAATGATGAGTAAGCCCATGAAAAGGTGCCCCTCTCCCTGAGCCGGTGGGGAACATGCAGAGTAAAACCGCGGGGAGACAGCACATGGCACTGTCGAGCGTAGCTACAAGAAAAAGACAGACGGCGCCGAGTGTTGTCGAGGACGCAGAGTCTGGGGTCCCTGCACGCTGGTTGCTTGGGGGACCAGGAAATGGTGTTACAGTGAGACAAACAGCGTGGCAGTTTCGTAAAGTTACGGGTTCATGCGACCCAGGAGCGTCCCCAAGAGAAATGACACCATGTGTCTGCAGACGTGGACGCCCACAAAGCTCGGGCAGCACCGCTCACGACGGCTAGGCCTGCGGTCAGCTCCAATGTCCACGAAGCGGTGAGCGGATACACGAGGCGTGGTTTACACTAAAAACAATAGAAAGGAACAAAGTAGGGATTCGTGGTACAGAACGGACAGACCTCACGAGTGGGACATTGAGGGGAAGCAGCTGGACTCGGTGTGCACAGAATGTCCAGAGAACCCGGATCACAGAGAGAAGGCATTCTGCAGGGTTCCCAGCCCTGTGTGCGTGCGTGTGCGTGTGAAATGTCCGGGAACTGGATGCCGCATGGTTACACAAGCCTATAAATTTACTAAAAACCACAGAACTCTACCGCTGTGACAGGTGAACTCACGCAGATTAGACCTCAGGAAGCACCTGCAGAAAACACGACGGTGGGCGGGCACCCTGCTGCCCCGCCTCCGCCTGCCCTACAAGCCGCTGCGGCCGGGGCGCCCATGTCCAGGTCTGGGCCCTCGCGGCCCATGAAGCCCAGAGGACGTGGGCGGGCGCTGGAGCTGCCTGGGCTGGGTCCCGGTCCCACCAGACCAAACCAGCCCGGCCCGGAGCCCCGAGACAGCGAGCCTCAGCACCCAGGGGCAGGCAGCGCGGAGGCCACCCCATGCCACCCCCCACTTCTGCCCGGAGCCCCACTCTGCCCCAGAGGCCACCTGCGCTGGGAGCCCCACTCTGCCCTCGGGCAGGCCTTGCAGCGCCGGGCGTCCAGCAGGAAGCGAGGGACACACAGAGGCTGTGCGTGTGCGTCTCTGGCCACAGCTTCTGCGCCCACCCTGGCCTGAGGTCCTGGGAGGTTCTCAGCGCCCCACCCCCTCCTCTGTCTTGAGGGGCCCGAGGTCACACTGGGTCAGACCTCTCCAGCACTCCAGGCAGCCTTTTCTGGAACTTACCCTGTGGGGAAGTCAAGGCCTGAGCCGCCTTCTGTGGTTTAGGAGCGCGCCCCCTCCCCTGCAGTGGCCCCAGTCCGAGGGGGAAGACGGAGGCCGCCAGGCTGTCCACAGCCCTGAGGTCAAGGTGGAGGGTGGCTGGGCCTGCTGACTCCAGATGCACGGGCTGCCACGGCGGGCCCCCCGGTAGGCTCTGCCACGGACGGTCAGCCCTGCTTCGTCCCCTCTGCACCATGCACCAGCCGAGGCTAGCAAAGGGAGCAGCGGGACCAGCCAAGCGCAGGGTGGCCTGGGGGCCGCCATTTCCCCTCTGTACTGGCCAGGAGCCCGGCCCGCACCGCTCCCCCCCCCCCCCCCGCCCGCCACGGCCCGCTGCCCACCTCCAGCTGCTGGGCAGCCCGGTGGGTGTGAATCCCGTCCCAGGTGAATCCTGTTGTAAGCTCGTGGGAGGGCATGACTTGAGGTGCACTTAAGTGAATAGACTCTACTGGCAGAGGTCACAGAGAGGACACCACCCCGGCTGAGCCGCGGCTGGCTCTGGGCTGTGGGAAGGCCCCTCACACTCCCGTCCTTGGGGTGGGGCTGCCGTTTCCCACGGTGGGAGTGCGTTTCCAGGCTGCACCTTGAGGGGCATGTGGTGCTGAGACCCTGTGGACGGTGCAGGGACCCCACTGAGGCCTCCCCGTGAACCCCAAGGTGCTGGTGGGCGGGGCCAAAGCCTGCTCGTCTGCTGCCCCAGACGAGCCTGGATGGGAGCTCCCCCGATGTCACACCCGCCTGCCGCCCGCCCGTCTGGGGCCTCCAGCCTGCTTCTCGGCCTCCCCAGACGTCACCCGGGGAGCTCGTGAAGGTTCAAACTAACAAAATTCATGACTTTATCATCTAAACTACATATAAAAAGTACAAACGAAGGAGCTAACTTACTGCACGTGTGTATCAAGATTGCAGTTTGAAGGGAGACTCGCTGTGGAAGGGGCATCGGGAGAGGGATGAATGTATGGGAGCCGAGCTCCACAACCTGCTCGCCCCAGGACCGAGTTCTCTTCCTTTTTTAGAATTCTGGTTTTTGAACATCACTTTCCAATATGGTTAGAATTTAAGGGTTGTGAATTTAGGAAATCCCACTTAAGAAAAATTCTGAAAAAGGATTAAGCAATGAAAGAGGGTAAACAGCTCAGCGCACCTGGGGGCAGGACGACTCCCCCAACCCCATTAATAAAGGAGAATCTGTCGAGTGGACATACGCAGTGGAAGCCAGTGACTCTGGAACGTAACCCACGTCCCCTGGATTAGCATTTGTTGTGAGCCGCCGGAACTCAGATGGGCTCTGAGACACGGGCCACAGAGGCTTGTAATAACACAAATAACCTATCAACACCCCACATCATTAACTCACATTAGGACACAAAAAAAACGGCCACAGGTTAAGAGTAATTTTCCTAGAACGATTTATTAATGGATATGCAGTAAAGTATGTCCCCAAAAATCTTTCCAGAAATGACAAGACAGAAAGTAAATTGGTTTTCAGTTCTCTGGCAGTTTTTTTTTTTAATGTAAACATAAAATATTTGAAGAAATGACAAAAAGTAACAAGTGAACCTGTAAATATATTTTTAAAAAATCTGATCTCAAACAGGTGCTTAAGGCTTACACATACAGACGTGCTATGTGATGACTGACTTAAATATTTATCTAAACAGAAATCAAAAGGCATTTCCGTAACTTCAGTGACAAAAGCACACATTCGGTGAGGCCTTCAGACGAAGGGAGAGCGACCTGGACGAGCACAGCCGGGACCGTGATGGGAGACGGAGCTGGAGGAGAACAGGGGCCAGACGGACACATGGACATAATGACACAAACAGACGGACACACGGACATAATGACACAAACAGACGGACACACGGACATAATGACACAAACAGGTGCACAGAAGCTACACAAATACAAGCAGGATCACTACGTATTTAAACATCCCTCCAGGCACGTCTCCGACGTAGGCACACGTCGGTGAGCACACCCCACTGACAGGCCATTTCAAGGTTTTTAAGAACACGTGACAGCCAGAAGGCTCCTCTCGTAATTCTGAGGACGCAGAGGTGACCAGCCAGCAAACGAAATGCATCCGTTCAGATCGGAGTCTAAGCTAGGCCGCTGGATGCATAAATTAGGAACGAGTGGAATTCATGATTGGATTACATACAGAACACAGTTTGCAAACTGCTCAATATCATTCACACCTACTGTGCGGAGTCAAACGTCCCCATCCGTTTCCAAACCAACGTCAGAACACAGGCGTGCGCTTACACCGTCATGGACAGTGGAAACCGGTTTGTGACATTTTGAACATCCTTCACATTCATTTACAATTTGACTAGCTGCTTTCTTCAAGACGTCCACTCACTAGTGAGATCCCATACATTTTACAAGTCAAAAAATAAACCATATTATACTAAAAAACATGAATGAGCAATAAAATGTTTACCTATAGATTCCTATAAACTTTGGGAATTCACTTTTGAAGTTCAGCAGAATAGTGAGTACTTAACAAGGGCATTTCAGGACTCTGTACAACAGTTTACATTTAGAAGAATTAACGTCTGGAAATAATTTCCATGAGTTTAGAAAGTACTAAATCTTGGTCTTCTCACCATCCTAAGCTCAGGCCTCATTAATGTAAACAGGGACACACAGACCTTATTTCTAATGAACAAGCAAGAGGCCATGGCCTTTCACAGCGCAGGAACTGATGTCTGAGTTCGGGCCGTGGAGATGAGCAGAGGAACGGGGACTGTCCTGGAGGGGTCAGGTGCACTGGAACCTCACAAATCAGTATCAACAAGGCACTTGAAAGGCTTTCCAGGGGCTTTGCAGCCGACGTGTGCTCTGCCAGAGGCAAATGGTAAACAACTATGCAAAGCTCCAATACTACAAGCACTCTTTCAAAAGGCAATATTCAATATATAAAAATGGAGTAAATTAAGATGTTAATATATTAAATAATTTATAAACATTTAAAATTATAGATATCTTACAAAATAGCTCTGATGATAAACATTTTTGTTGCAAACACCAAACAAACACGATTTAAACACAGTACAAAACCGTCTCTTAATTAGCATGTTAGCTGAAGGGGTGGGGAAGGAAAGCTCAGACCTGAAATCTAGTACCTTCCTAACATAAAGTATTCCTAATTAAACTTCACATGTGTTTTTAACACTGAAATATAAAAAAAAATTGAAATTTTCAATAATTCCTTATTTTAAGGCCATTGAAATAAGTTTCACCTCGTTACATTTTGGTGATGTGCTGTTCGGAGTCCAGGGACATTGGGGGTAACGGGCACGCCCATCCGGCTCACAGACCTTCCCTGCACGACGCATCCTGTCAAGTTTTCCCCTCGCCTTCACTAAGACAAGATCAGCACCCAGCGCCATACGTCACGGCGCCTGGGGCTCAGGCGTGGAACTGGAGGCACGGACCTGCTGCAGCTGTGGTCTGGCTCCGAGGAGAGTGGCCCTCAGGACATCGTTGCTATGACAGCGTTGTTGCGAGGACAATTCCAAGGATCACAAGCACAACAATCACACAAATAACAATGAACATCATTTTCTGCAAGTTAAAAAAAACACACTAATTAATTTGCAAGGTATCAAAAGAAAGAAATCACTAATGTCATTTCTTTAAAAAATCTGAGAGTTTAAAATACGAATCTTACAGGCTGCAGAAAAGGGAGGGGTGGGGAAGGAAACCTCCACGGTCAAAGCTCTGCGTTATGCACACGTGTCTATTAAATTAAGGGGATGTAGTTAAAACAGGTGTTGTTACGACCATGACTTGCTCCTGGAGAGAAAGGCAACATCCACTTGGCACCGTGTGGGTCCTTCACAAACGCTCTCTACTGATCACACTGAAATGAGAAGCTGCTATTCCTCGGATGTACTACACATCTTCTCAAAGCTTTAAATGACTCTCTCCTTTGCTGACATCCTACTTACCCATGTGTTTACACTGAGGTGTGTGCACGTGTGTGAGAAACCATAAGCCGCTGGCCCGTCTTCCGCCGCACCCACAGCCCAGAGGCCGGGCAATGAGCACAGCGGGGTTTGTTTTTCAGCTGACAAGCATCCCTGCCCAGCTGGAAGCTAAACCACCTTCGGCTTAAGGCATCTGGTCGGGTCCAGGGGACTTGCCCGTGCGAGAAGGACTAGATGAAAGGCACCTGCGTGACCCTGAGTTCTCTTTGCGGACAGCAGACTCCTCACCTGCACCGCCGCAGAGTGCACACAGGCCACACGGCCGCCGGAGAAACCCTCCTGCGGAGCCGGCACCGGCCTGCAGCAGCTCCATCACCACCGTGGGCCCTGACGCTCAGCGGGCCAGGCCCTCAGGAAACTGTGTCATGCAGAGGGTAGGGAGCGCTGCCTTCGGGGCCCCTCCCCATCAGACTCGAGCACGCTCGTGGCGTGAGGACTGTGGCCCTGAGAACTCCACTCAGCACCTTGATCTGAGGACAGCCTTTCCCTTAGGCGTACGGTACCTTAGTCCTTAGCCACCACCTGGGGTCCCTGGGAGAAGCAGCCACCTGGGGTCCCTGGGAGAAGCAGCCACCCTGCATGTGAGCTCTTTCCGCGCCCCCGGGGGCTGGCTCTGCGGTGTCGGGCACTGCGCACATGTGTCCTTCCTTCCCCACTGGCTTGCAGGGGTGCTCCCCTGAATTCCATGACAGCTGGCCCCCTGCGCCCCAGATGCCACAACCGTTCTCGTCTAACACCCTGCTAACAGCTCAAACCAAACGTGTGCCCTCCTCTCAGTGGGCAGAGCACACCCCGGGGCACCAATCCTGTTCTGAGTTATGTCAGAACATCCTGTTCTGAGTTATAAAGAACCACGGGCAAGGCACACTCTGCCTGTCTCCTCAGACAGGAAATTAAGCATCCCACCCAGGCTGCAGAGCTGTGGGGACTCGGATTGCCTCCACAAGGTGCCTACAGTCCAGTGCCTGGCCTACCGGAGGGCTCTGCTGAAAACAGAAATTACAGCAACCAGGTCCACTGACACAGCTACAATTATCAACCACTGCATTTGTATAAAAGGAATAATTGTTGGTGTGCACTTTGGTGTGTTTTTATCAATGAGGATTATTCTGTGTTCTTTTTTAAAGACATTAGGGTAAACCGGGCATCTGGACCCACAGCCCACGATAAGCCCACTGCTCCCCCAAAAATCACACTGAAAAACCTGCTTTTACTCAATGGCATTACCAAACAGCACCCCTGGGTCCAATCTAAAAATTAATTTTAAAATCTTTAGTGTAACCACATTCAACCAACCATATTATGACCACCAGGAAAAATTAAGAAAATACATGTATTTAAAGCAATTATAAAAATATTTTTAAATGCAATTACATTAACGAAGAAAAATCACAGACACCATGTTTTCCAGCAGAGCTAACAGAACAGCATCGTGAAGATCACATAAACATCCAAATAAAAAGAGTGCTAAGCCTCCTTCCTTCTAAAGAACGAACTTCCACCAACGCAGCGGCCAGAGCCTATTCTGAAACAACTTCCCGAGTGATCGTGTGTTGCAGGGACCGCGCCCGCTTCTCCCCACCGACTGCCAGACTGCCACGCTGCGCGGGCTCAGGGCCACCGGCTCCCGCTGAGACGGAGCGCAGGCCCACAGCACACAGGCCTCCTTACTCGTGTCTGCCACGTGTCTGAGCTTGCTCTCATGGCCACAGAGGGGGCTCCCCCGGAACCACCCGGCAGCACCCGCCCGGCGGCCCTCGGAAGGACCAGGCTGACTCGCCCGGGAGGAGGGGTGCAGCACACCAGCCGGCCTTCTAGCCGGAGCGCTCAGCGGGGAGGAGGCTCCCAAACGCACAAGAGACCAGAGGGAAAGCACAGAATGTACTGAAGGTTGGAGAAAGGTCAACAAAGTAAACAAAAATAAAGATACTTCAATCACTGTCTGCTCTCCTCAGCCGGGGGTGTGGGAAAACCACCTGCAGCCAGCACAGGGCCGCCAGGGAGAGGATGGGCTTTCCCGGAGAACTCTGCTCCGACCCCAGGCCCCCAGGGAAGAGATCTCACAAAGCAAACTTCAGTTGTTGCAGTTACTCCCAAAGCTAAAACTTGAAAGGTACATGAAAGCATTAAGTGCCTCGGGGCTGTGCCACCCGCCACCCAGAGTGCGGGCACCTCAGGGCGGCGTGGGCCCCTCCACACCTGCGCGCAGAGATTTTAACGGCCACGTGAAAAGGGGGCCTCCCTTTAAAGATGCCCCACCTGCAGCCTGCGAAGGCCCAGTGCACGTGGCAGCCGGGCACGGGCACCACGGACGACAGGCCGGGCCCCCGCTCCCCGCCGCGGGCGGGCTGCTGGGACGGTTAAGTACGCTAAAACAGGGCGCGCGTTACCACTATAGCTAATTGGGAAGTCAGTACGCAGATGAGCTGTTACTGCCGTGCTGGCAGGGGCACGCACACTGACGTGATCCACATCCTCACTTGCCAACTGATAAACCAATAATTAGAGCAATTACAGCAACCAGGGCCACTGACACAGCTACAATTATCCACTTTTTCTGTCAAAGGAAAGTAAGCCGTTTACATTACGGTAATTTTCTATCACCACATTAGAAGATATCATTCATTGAAAATAAAACAATCCACAGGAAGCTGCTTCAAAATCTAAGTTACAGGACGTCTCATTGCTTGACAGCTTTTAGTGCTTAAAAAGGGTGATTTTTAGTTTAACGAAGTGAGACTGTTTGGAGATAAACAGTTCTAGAACTCAGGCTATCAGGTCCCATCAGTGAGATGGTGAGTCTGGAGGGAGCGAGGCCCATGACTGATGTTCCCGCAGGCAGACCTACGGATGAGCCCCCCCCCACTTTGTTCTGTGTTTCTCTGCTATTGGTGGTGAGACCCTCCACTGCTCCTGCCCCACCCCAGAAAGCACAGCACCCCAAGGCCGGCTGCACCCCCCCAGGGCCCAGGCAGCTGCGCCGGGAGGGACAGCCGAGGTCTGAGCAGATGTGGCAGCGGGGCGTCTGGGAGCAGAGTGAGCAGCGTGGACAAGCCCTATGATGTCAGGGCTCGGCTGTGTCACTGGACAGATGGTGACAGTGCCGGACACGGGCACCACCCCTCTCAGCAGCTGACACCGTAGGGTGAGGCCTCCTCAGCAGTGGAGTCCACGCTTAACAGGAGGCCTGTTGTCTTTGTAAAACCAACTTTTCAGGAAGATTCTCGCTGCATTGACACGCTGGTTAGGGAAACAAAGGGACCGGCCCTTTGCTAATGACCCTGTCAGGCAAGTCCTCGGTGTGCCTGGAGTAGGCTGAGAACTCATGCGTGGACCTTATCACCTCGCTTCGGGTAGGAGTATTTTTTTTTTTAAAGATTTTATTTATTTACTTGACACACAGAGAGAGACAGCGAGAGAGAGAGAGAGGGAGAGAGCACAAGGGGGAGCAGCAGGCAGAGGGAGAAGCAGACTCCCCGCTAAGCAGGGAGCCCGATGTGGGGCTCGATCCCAGGACCCTGGGATCATGACCTGAGCTGAAGGCAGCGGTTTAACCAACTGAGCCACCCAGGCGCCCCAGGGTAGGAGTATTTTAAAGAGTGATGCCACAGAATACTGTCGTGTCTCAAAGACCACGAACCCACTCAGATGCACCCAGGAGAAAGCAGGGCGCCGTGCTCTGCAGGCTGACAGTGGAGCCCAGACGCACCTGTTATGGGAGGCCCGCGAACAGCCAGCACGGGGACTCCGCGCACAGGCCCCGACCCTCCCTCCCTTCCCGGCACCCTGGAGCCCCCTCTTTACGAGGCCTCTGTGGGCAGCGCGTGGAAACACCCGGCCAAAAAGGCACTGCGAGCCCGCGCAGCCTCCTCCCGGGACGGGAAGCCGCGGCGGGCACTTTGTGCGGGACTTCTCCACCCCGGGGAGAAAGAAACCCAAACAGCCGGACAAGGACACCCGTGAAACGTGGAGAGAGCTTTCTTGTCCCTGAGTCAGAACTGAATGCCGTCATGTCGCCGTTTTCTGAGAAGAGCTTCGCTCACACGCACACGGGGTTCAGGTAAGGACATCACAGCTCCTTCACAAAGCTTCAACGCGGCGGCCGCACAGCAGCCGCAGTCCGCTCTCGGTAATGCGCTTCTGCCTCCAAACCAGAGAACTGGCAAGCAACCCCAGCGAAGAACCAAAGGTTCACTGCACGAAATGTGTGACCAACGGCTTCTAGAATTCCAGGCCCATTAGCTTTACACCCTCCAGATAATGGCCCAAGACGCAGCAGCCTCTGGAGAAACGTGGGGTCACAGAACACAAAGGGTCACAATCACCACACTTACCTACACAACCTTTAACTGCTCAGCAAAAATAATCACTTCAGTTTTAAAGTGAAATAAGAAGTTAAGGAATTACTTATTTCTTGGACTGCCGCATAAGGAGGGCTACATCAACATACTACACTCAAAGCCAAATAAAAAGAATGCACTTTAATTCTTAAAAACCAAACTCACCCTTCTAGCTTTGCTGTGATATTTAATAGCTTTCTTCGTTTCTTCCTTAGCGTGCTCTACGTAGTCTGCGGCATTCATCACGTTTTTTTCTATGTTGTTGATCATTTCGCCCTTAAAACAGAAAAGTTCCAGGCTCAGAGGACATTTTCGAAAGACCTGAGCGCGTATCTTATGCCAGCCGTGGAGAACCGATAAAGTCTTCACGCGGACGTCATGTGCACACAACAGACACCAAATGTTTTTCACGTTTACACACAGAGGAGAACGTTCTAAACATGCCAATGCAAAGTATCAAAGTTTACGTTTTATGAAGAATGAACAGGGATGAGAGGGGTGGGCGACAAGCTGCTGCTGAGAGGCGTGTCAAGTACCTTCCGAGCCGTGCGCTCGTATGTGCGCTCCCGGGGGAGGTGAGGGCAGCCCAACGCCTTCCTGGCGCGCACATACACACGATGTACAATGACATCGTTTCTAATGGGCGGAAACGGTCGTGATTTCTCTCGAACACCAGAAAACCAAGACCAGCGTATGTTTGACGCTGAGCTGACGAGACTCGGGAAGAGCGTGGCGTGAGGCGAGTGCAGGGAGGTGTGAGGGGAGAGGACACGGTCCCTGGCTCTCCGTCCGCGGCATACACACCCTGCAGCAGTGACAGAAGCAGTGGAAAACGACTCACCGTTACCTCACGCCCCCACAAACTCAAGCTCACTAGCGGCTCTGACTACGCACGCGGTCTGAGTTAGAGGAGTCGACAGAGCGCATTAGACACAAAGCTAAGAATACAGCCCTTTTTCTAATGGAGCTTAACGCGACACATCTGGTGTAGAACTGTTATGATTAAAGTCTAAGGTACTCGAAAATCTTTCATAATTACAGAAACAACGTAGAGTCCCTACTGCCAAACGGCTCCCTTCGGAACACTCCCTGAAAATACAAAGCTGGCAGACTCCTGGTGTGGGAAGGCAAGGGCTCTGCCCAGGCCAACAAGAGTGAGCCCCCGCCCCCTGCCCCGGGGCTGCTGGGTTCTCCCACCAATCACACAGTACCTGAGCTTTCCAGTTTATGATAAACGTCCTCAAAATAAACAGTGTTCTTCAAAAGGTCAGTGATACACATGGAGAATGAACCCCGTACAAGGATGGACTTCCTGTCATCCCTCACATAACCCAGAAACTTCTCACCAGACTGCTCCTGCCAGAGCAGGTCCTGAAACCAGCCTTCAGGGGTGTGAGGACGCAATCTACCGAAGATGTGTGACACCGACCCTCCCACGGCACGGGCGTCACCAGAATCCTAACCCCTGAATCAATGAGCAGCTGCGTGCAGGCCTCGCTCCGTACTCGAAACATCACCGACAGCCTGATTCAGGTCCCAGGAGTCAGAACACACAAGCCTGTATTTGACACTGGATTTTATATTTTGTGAGGAATTGTCTACATTCCTTCCATCCTCTCCCAGGGGAACCTCCACACCCTCCCCGCCTGCGTCATTGGACAAACCAAGAAACACCACCACGCAGTGACCACAGGCTTCTAGCTGTGTCACGCACAGTACCCTAAATTTAGAGCTTATTCTTTTAAATGTTTCTCCCAATTATCATTCTAATACATGCTCCTCGTAGAACACTTGAAAATACGTATGTATTTTAGAGAAGAATATTAAAATCCCCCACAGTCCCACTGTTATTTTACTTGGTAGATTTCTTTCCTTCTGTGAACACTGTTCTACAGAGCCGAGTTCGTGCCATATACATACACACGTGTGCGTGATACAGAGGGGGATGTACGCACATAAGACTCTGTATCTCCCTGTTCGCTTATAGTTCCAGCACAATATTTGTACGTCTCACTAAAAATCTCCCTGAACAAGAGTCTGCCTATGGTTGCCTAGTCGGCTGTCCTGTGGACACACAGAATTTAAGGAAGCCGATCCCTCATGGTTGAAAGTTGAAGCTGTTGCCAGCACCCCTGTCTCACAGTACACTGCAATCAACTTCTGGATTTTGAGACTGGATCCAAAATGCTGGCTTCCTCGGCTACGTGGGAATCCAATGTGAAATCTCCTAGGAGATTTCACAAATGCCTGCTGTCCATTTGGAGATGGGGAGATGTGTGCAGTTACCTGGGTCTCCACGAACATAGCCATGTCCGTGAACATTTCATGCAGCTCCCGGATGCTGGTCTCCAGCTTCATGATGTCCTTGTGACGAGACTCAATTTCATTGAGCGCTTGTCTAGTAATTTGTGAATCTGATATAATCTTTGAAAAACAAACACAAAAAAGAAACACTGATAAACTCAGGGCCGCTTTGGGAGTAAAGCGCAGGCAGGGACGTGTGGGCGTGCGGCCGCGGCCTCCCGGGCGCTCACGTCTGCCGTGAAGACAGAAGGGCCCCCGGTCTCCAGCATTTCCTCCAGCTCATCATCCGTCGTGGTTCTTCCAGCTGCAAGACGAACACAAACTCCACTCAGAACGTGCCAACATTTACAAACAACTCTTTCAACCACAAGTGAGCAACTAAAACCTGAGTTTACATTTTTAAACATCTTTCTAACCTTTCAAATGTATTTTCTTAGAAGAGTGTTAATGTTGACAGAAACTGACATGAGACTAAGAAACAGGAGAAATCAGGAAACTCTCAGGTAGAACGTCATAACTGGAATGAATCATAAAATCTAACTTGAGTATGAATGAGAAACAACTACAAGGAGGACATCATAGGTAATTTTGTGCCACATGTTTTCCTAAAAGCTTAACTCTGGCTTACGGATAAAGGCTATGTTACCAGCACAGACTAGGAAGTCATAAAGACTGAATAATTAGAATCAGAGGCTTTACTACTCGTTATGTGTTGATTGTTGGTATTTTTCCTTGAGTTTAAATATATTAATGCTCTCTATGAAATACATTCACAGGTTTTTTGAAAAATTCAATTGATAATTCTTATTTTTTACAATTTGTGCCACAAAAGACAAAATAAAATGACTGTCATAATAATTAAAGTATCATTTAAAGTGAATGTTGACAGCAGCATTATTCATATCGTCATAAAGTGGAAATGACCAAACATCCATCGGCTGCGGCCCAGATAAACACAGCGCGGCCCGTCTGCAGGATGGCGCCTCAGTCAGCAGGCCGCGGGATGGCTGCACCTCGAAACATCTGTGTTAAGTCAAAGAGGCCGGTCACAAAAGACCACAAACTGCATGATTCCACGTATGTGAAGTGTCCAAAACGGGCGAATTGGTAGAGGCCGGTGGCTGCCACGGGCTCCAGCGAAGAGGCGCGGGGAGCGACTGATGGTAGGTGTGCATTTTGGGGCGACAAATGATCTACAATCGGCTGTGTGACCCACTAAAGCTGCTGACCTGTGCACGTCCCACGTCACTGGTGTGGTACATAACTGTGTCTCTGTCAATATGTTGAAATACCATTTGATGAGGTTCACACTCGCAGCTATTCTGGGCTCCCCAGGTCCCTGGGGAGGGGCGCACCGGGCCCGTCGTGAGCTCGTGCCACAGCTGAGGAGCCCTGGTCTTCTCTGACGGGGAGCGGACACACCTGACTGACCTTCATGCGGTCAGCAAAGTGCCTTCTGCCCAGGGGGAGGCCCGAGCCCCACCGTCCCAGGCTGACGGCTACACACGGGTCCTTGCAAGGCACACTGGAGCAAAGGGCCGTCTGCGCTTGCTCGCCAGACACACAGCACCGTGAGCCCTCAGAGACCGTCTCCCCAGAGGGGGCACAGAGGTTTGGGGGCAACAGAAGAGTACTTGAGGAGATAATGGCTGAAAGTTTTCCAAATCTGATTAACCCTCCAAAAGTAATGCTGATTATTAGAAAGTAATTTAAAGTCCACTCACCAAGGATTTTCCAAAAGATGTAAATAAAGAAAAATTTCTGGTGATTCAATGAACAGGAAGTCATGAAAACGTTTTAGGTTTTACAATATTGGCAAAAAATAAAGATGGAATAACTCTTCTGAAGTTACAGTACTTTGATGTCAGGCCTTAAGAAAAATATGTTTTTTACAAAAATAGCATTTTCCTTTACTCACTTATTTCTAGTTGACGCTGTATCCGTCCTTTGCTCCGCTCCCGGAACAGAGTCTGTGCCTCATTATATTCTGTCATAACTTCCACAAATTTCCGAGATAGTACAGAATGCTATTAATACAGAAGCAATTAATACATAATGATCATTTCTGCTGAAAGTGACATACAAAAACATGACATCAGGAAAACTGCACCTGTTATGGGAGTCCCTCACACAGAAAGTGAGATGAGCAGCGGCCAACTCTACGAGAGAACCCAGGCTGAGAGCTTCACGTGCGCCACCAGCACGCCCACTTTACAGACGCAGACACTGTGACTCGAGCTCGCCCGTGGTTCCCGGCTAACTGGACGAGGCCTGGCCTGCACATGGGCCCCCCCCCTTTGTCAGGCAGAAGTGAGCAGCCTGGACCACAAACCTTTAGAAGGTGTGGACCTCACCTCCCCACCCTCCAGGGATTCAGATAATTCAGATAATATTGCTCTTCAGAGCAGAACTCTGTTGATGGACTGAATACACTTTTTCTTCATAATAAGGAGATCATCTATAGAGATGTAAGGATTAATGTGACATAGAGATGAACTATGTTGAATTTGAACGAAGTAAAAAGACCTATTCTTCACATCGCTCCAGTCTGGATGAGGCGGACAACCAAACCTGGGTTCTCCGGATGCGAAGATCCACTGAAGTCCGGTTCCCACTCTCATCCTGGTCAAAACTTTGCTCAATAGCTGGAAACAGACAGGAAAAGAGTCACCTTTTAAACTAAAAAACAGAAGGTTCTCAAGCCAAACCTCGAAATGCTTTTCTTTCTTATCGATTCCTCATCAATTTATGGATCTCGATAATGATATCCATCGTTGGCAATACCACAAAATAAAACCAGATGTTCAGTCTTAACATTTAAAAGAAAAACAAACAAAAGAAATCACCTGACTCTGATGGAGTTTGGAGAACTTAACTATCCATCTACAGGAGATACAGAGCTTTCAAACCCTGAAGCATGGAAAATTCTGATGGACAAATGTCCTGGTTTTTCCAACCAAAATAAAAAAGTGGGGGAAGAGGGAAGGAGAGTCTGAGTTTTAAAAACTTTAAGTGACATGCCACCAATCACAGAGTATGGTAATTATCTGGAACCCAGTTCAAGCACGCTGTAAAAAGAAATTCAAAGAACACTGGGGAAGCATAAATTCTGATGGGCTATTTCCTAATAAATAACTGGATATAATCATGGCACTGTGGTTTTATTTTTGGGTGCAAATCCTTCTGTTCTGCAATACACTGACATATGTGCTGATGAAGCCACCTGGGCAGGTGGGAGCCCTGGGGGTAAAAAGCTGAAAGGGGTGGCCACAGGCTTCGGGCGGTCATCTCCCTGCCCCCACCTGTCTGAAATGCTCCCTGACAAAAGTTCTTTCTGATCTGCAGAGATTTCCTGGATTTGAATGCTCTTTTGTAACAATCAGATAAAGCGTGTCTTCTCAGCATCTCCCTCTATGCCCAAACCTCCCAGAAGCTACCTCTTGGAGCTGAACCTCTAGCACTGGAAGCTAAACTCCTGCATATTTAAGAACCTAAGAAGAACTGGAGATTCGTATGAAAAGCTATTCACCTTCTCAAGTATCTGCAATTTAGCAAAAAATGTCATAAAAATAGGCTTCTATGAGAAATTAATAATTTATTATAAGCAAATGCTTAATTAACCTTGATGAATATGAACTTGTGTTTCTGTCCTAAATTTGCGGATTAACAACCATTAGCTTTAGCTCCCTGTGTGCAGAGTCCTTAGAGCCAGTAGTTTAAGAATTCTAGAACAATGAATAATGTAAAGGCCACTACTCCAAGTTCATACAAATAATTCATAGTGCTCACAGTTCTGATTTGTAAAAATGTCAAGAATAAGAGATTAGAAGGGAAACAAGATCACCCATATGCCACCATCACCCATTACACACAGCCAAAGCTGTAAACTCACACTTCAACTTGGCTCGGATTTTGTTAGCAGTTTTCTTGATCTCTTTGTTCAGATCTTCAAGCTCTTCTTTTATTTCTTTAAAATTAAAAAAAAAAAAGGCATCCCAGCTATAATACCCAATAAACTTAAATGGAACAATATTCTTGGTAAATATTCAAGTGTTTGGGTCTCAAGGTGAGGCTCCCAGACCAAGGAGCCGCAGCACCAGGTGGGGTCCTGGGAGAAATGCACATTCCCGGGCCCCACCCAGACCTACTCAGTGTGGGACCCGCGGCCAGCAATCCGACCTAACAAGCCTCCAGGTGACTGTGATGTGCACCTGTATTTGAGAAGAGCTGGTTTATAGCAATTAACTGATAAAATAGTTCACTGAAGCTGTTGCTAACACCTAGACCTAAGAAAGGAAGCAGAAATTTAATCGTATTCTGGAAAGAAATTCTCCCATGTGTTTGATTTCCTTTGTACTCATCTCGACCTATTCGAAGCAGGCTCCTCACAGGAGTGCTGGTACCCACACTGGGAAGGCTGAGGCTAACCCCCAGACCTAGTCACTGCATCTGGAGAGGGAGAGCCAGTGCAGGAGTCTACAGGAAAATGCACACACAGCAGGAGAAGGTGTGCAGCCGAGCTGAGGACATGGCACGGCAGACTTGGGGAGCAGCTATGAGCCATGGGGTGGGCACAGAAGCCTCTGTTACTGAGGACTGAGCCTGAGGTGGATCAGAGCCCCGTCCCCCAGTTGGCACTCCCCAGGAGCACTCCCCGCTCTGGATACGAAAGCCCTGGGCTGCTCCAGGACAAGGAGATCCCGGACTCCCTGCTCACACAGGCAGGCAGGGGCTCAGGTGTTCGTGAGGGAAACGGAAGAGGTGTTACCATACTGATCCCTTCAAGTGACGGGACAGAGCCATAAGGCTATCCTCGGCAAAGGGAGCGTTTCGAGCCACTGAGAAAAGGATGTGGTGTGATCAACACTCCTGCTGAGAACCAGGAAAGCTGGACAAAATATGTTTTTAATCTGCTTAGAGGCATTTAAAGCTAAAATGTCAGGTAAGGGGGCGCCTGGGTGGCTCAGTTGTTAAGCGTCTGCCTTTGGCTCGGGTCATGATCCCGGGGCCCTGGGATCGAGCCCCGCATCGGGCTCCCTGCTCGGCGGGAAGCCTGCTTCTCCCTCTCCCACTCCCCCTGCTTGTGTTCCCTCTCTCGCTGTGTCTCTCTCTGTCAGATAAATAAATAGAATCTTTAAAAATAAAAAATTAAAATGTCAGGTAAGGAGAAGGACACCCAGAGGGGAGCCAGCGACTGGAGCGGCTTGAAGCTGGAGGCAGGGGAGAGGAGAGAAGAGCTGCAGACACTGCAGGCCCTGCCCCGGAGGAGGGGACTGTGGCGGGGTCCATGTAACCCTCCTAAACTAGACCCAGAACTGCTGCTGCCCCTGGCCATCTGTCAGAAATGTTTAAAAATCATCTTCTAGAAAAGAAGATACTATCCTAGGACTCAAATTACTGCCACAAGCTTTTATGCACAAAGCCCAGGGCCCGATCAAAAACAGGCAGGCAAACAAAGAACAAGTCGAGGTGCACAGACCCCCAGCGGCACCAGTTAGTGGATGACCAGATACAGACAGTGAGATCGTTATGTTCAAAGGGGTGAAATACAAGATGAACAATTTTGTCAGAAAATCAAGACAGTACAGAAAGGAACCAAGTGAAATTCTGGGACTGAAAATATCTCACCCAGAAATAACTCAGTGGGTGAAGAGAGGTCTGCGGATGAACCACAAACGGACCGCCCATCAGAACGGCGAGACGGGGCGAGAACAGAACAGAGGGCAGGGGAACCAGGGACACAGGAAAAAGGCCCGAACACACAGACTTCAGGTCCCCCAAAGAGGGAGGGCAGGAAACAGAGCAGGGACGGCTCGCGAGGAGAAAGGGCCCAGGCGGCCAGAGGCGCACACCTGGGATCCAGGAGGTGAACTTAGGAAGAGCAGCACAAACAGAAAGAAAACTGCACCAGAAATAGCAAAATCACTAAACCAAAGACCAAACACCAAGTATCTTAAAAGCTACAATTCAACAGCTGACTTAAAAAAGGGGGGGGCACTGGAAAGATTACTTCAAAATTTTTAAGATGATCAAAGAAATTTACTTCCTGATAGACTCCTACATGAAGACACCCTTCAAGAACAAGATTACGGGGGCGCCCGGGGGGCTCAGACGGTTGAGCGTCTGCCTTCGGCTCAGGTCATGATCCCAGGGTCCTGGGATCGAGCCCCGCATCGGGCTCCCTGCTCCGCGGGGAGCCTGCTTCTGCCTCTGCCTCTCTCTCTCTCTCTCTCTCTCTCTCTGACCCTCATGAATAAATAATAAAACATTAAAAAAAAGATTACGGATGGAAAATTTCAGACAACTGCATATTCCCTACTAAAAGCAGTAACAAAGTGTGTTTTTTAGAAAGAAATGACCTCAGATGGAAGTTGTGAGACTCAAGGAAAAATAAGGAGCCCTGGTATGGGTATGCATGTGGGGAGATCCGAATGGACGTTCATTGTACAAACATTTATGTTGCTTTTACCCATTACATACGTACGACAATATGCGCATACAAGAATAGGTGGGGTTAAAGTTTCCTAACGTCCTTGTGTTACCTGGATGTAGTAGAAACACAGACTCCTACTGGACCTTAATCAAGAATGCACACTACACTCTAGAGGGTGATGACTGTAACAAAAGAAAGTAGTACATATAAATAAGCTAGTGGTGGAGGGGATAAAATCCTTAAAACCCAATCCAAAAGAAAGCCTGAAAAGAGAGAAGTAACAGAGAACAAGCAAGAAAAATGAAAATAAATATGATTATGAATGTCCACCTCACTGTATCAATAATTCTAGCCAACAGCCTAAAATCAATTAGTGACAAAAAAAATGATCAGACTGGAAAAAAGACAAAACCAAAAAATACTTTATTTATAAAAGATGAGACAAACACATAAGGCACACGGCTATGGGAAGATCAACAGGAAGCAGTGGGGAAACCTATCCCACACCCACTAATCAAGGCAAATCTGGGAGCTCTGTTCATGCAGGCAAAGTGGCCTCGAGGGCACAAAGCGACCGTCATTGGGGGCGGGAGGGATGCTCCCCTCACGACGAAAGGCCCAACGCAGCACAAGACTCTACAGCTGTGAAGGCATTGGCCCCCCAGCTTTCCACGCACATGCGTCTGATCCGGACCCTGGAAGGAGGGAAACAGACGGCTACGGAGGCCTTCACGGGACCGGGCTTCAGACGAGAACAGGGCTGCACATCAGGCAACAGCACTTTATCAGTGTTATCTTCCCCAATCAGAGGAACAGTGCCAGCGTGCATGAGTGTCCTTCTTTGGAGATAAATCTCAAAGCAGTCTCTCTCAAAGGAGTCAGCAAAAATAACAGCCCACAGGGAACACACGTATCCCACACGAGAGCCCGCACAGTGTATGTCCATACGGGCACATGCGCACACACAGATCAGCATGGCGAACGTGGACCACTGGTGAGTCCCACTGTACCATCACTGCAACCTTCCCAGCGATTCAAAAATGTTACACTAAAACTCTGAAGACAAAGTCTAATGCCACCAGTACCTTGATCCAGCAGGAACCGGCCCGGGAGCAGGGCACCACCTGGTGGCCACTGTGCTCAGGCACCGCGCGGCCCTGAGGCTGGCAGGGCTGGGCAGCCCCCGTCCACCCATCGTGTACCCAGGAGCAGGGCAGGGAGAGAGCTGAGGCACCCCTGGCCCTCCCAAGGGCCAGCAACCCGCTGCCTTCTGCATCACCCCAACCCCCCCCCCCAGGGCCCTGTTCTGCAGGAGAGAAACTGTACTTCTCTTTTCAAAGGTCAATTAAGTGAGCACTTGGACACTGCCTCCCATGTTTCGGTTCACACTCTGTCATGAAACAGACAGAAGACCAGAGCAATCATTTTATTTACAGCCCAGAAGGGACTACTGTGAAGCATTAAGAGTTCTGCATGTATTCAAACAGGAGTGTTATCTGCATAATTCTTTGGAGGTAAATTATTCAAAAGAAAAAAACATGCTAATATTTATTCAAATTTAATTTTCCCAAGAATTAAGATGTTAATAGGTGTTACATAAAAAGTTCTGTGGGCAAATAAATGTGTGAAACACTACACTAAGTTAAACAGGTTTCTTTATTTAAGCAGGACTGCTCAGGCCTTTATTACTGAGGACACTGTAACTTCCCAAGAGGGGATATGGTATAAGAAGACTCCCAAACGTACTAGGTGACACACCTCCTGTTTCATAGGCTAGCTGACGGCATTCATGCTCCAGAACACATTTTGGGAAACGTTTTTCTAAACCATAAGATAAGGCATCTACTGAGAGTCAAAGCATTATTTTACAAGACATTCAAAATCTTAAAATTAAGAACATGTTCTTTCCCAATGTAGTACCTTTATTTCTTCAATGTAAGGCTATACCAAATAATCCTCTAACAAAAAGTTGCTTTCCCATTTCCTTACACCACACACAAAAATAGACTCCAAATGGTTGAAATATGAGACAGGAGTCCATCAAAATCCTAAAGGAGAACACAGGTAGCAACCTCTTCGACCTCAGCTGCAGCAACTTCTTCCTAGAAACATCACCAAAGGCAAGGGAAGCCAGGGCAAAAATGAACTATTGGGATTTCATCAAGATAAAAAGCTTTTGCACAGCAAAAGAAACAGTCCACAAAACCAAAAGACAACCGACAGAATGGGAGAAAATATTTGCAAATGACATATCAGATAAAGGGCTAGTATCCAAAATCTATAAAGAACTTATCAAACTCAACACCCAAAGAACAAATAATCCAATCAAGAAGTGGGCAGAAGACATGAACAGACATTTTTCCAAAGAAGACATCCAAATGGCCAACAGACACATGAAAAAGTGCTCAACATCACTCGGCATCAGGGAAATCGAAATCAAAACCTCAATGAGATACCACCTCACACCAGTCAGAATGGCTAAAATTAACAAGTCAGGGAACGACAGATGTTGGCGGGGATGCGGAGAAAGGGGAACCCTCCTACACTGTTGGTGGGAATGCAAGCCGGTGCAACCACTCTGGAAAACAGTATGGAGGTTCCTCAAACAGTTGAAATTAGAGCTACCAGAGGATCCAGCAATTGCACTTCTGGGTATTTACCCCAAAGATACAAATGTAGGGATCCGAAGGGGTACGTGCACCCCAATGTTTATAGCAGCAATGTCCACAATAGCCAAACTGTGGAAAGAGCCAAGATGTCCATCGACAGATGAATGGATAAAGAAGAGGTGGTTCATATATACAATGGAATATTATGCAGCCATCAAAAGGAATGAGATCTTGCCATTTGCAACAACGTGGATGGACCTGGAGGGTGTTATGCTGAGTGAAATAAGTCAATCAGAGAAAGACATGTATCCTATGACCTCACTGATATGAGGAATTCTTAATTTCAGGAAACAAACTGAGGGTTGCTGGAGTGGTGGGGGGTGGGAGGGAGGGGGTGGCTGGGTGATAGACATTGGGGAGGGTATGTGCTATGGTGAGCGCTGTGAATTGTGCAAGACTGTTGAATCACAGATCTGTACTTCTGAAACAAATAATGCAACATATTTTAAGAAAAAAAGAAGAAGAAGATAGCAGGAGAGGAAGAATGAAGGGGAGTAAGTCGGAGGGAGAGAGGAACCATGAGAGATGATGGACTCTGAAAAACAAACTGAGGGTTCTAGAGGGGAGGGGGGTGGGGGGATGGGTTAGCCTGGTGATGGGTATTGAGGAGGGCACGTTCTGCATGGAGCACTGGGTGTTATGCACAAACAGTGAATCATGGAACACTACATCAAAAACTAATGATGTAATGTATGGTGATTAACATAACAATAAAAAAGATGGAAAAAAAAAAGTTGCTCTCAACTTTCCTCCAAAGTTGAGAATAAGTGTCCCCATCACCACTTCCACTTAACCCCATATCAGAGGTCACTGAAATAAGTCCACTAAAAATAGAAAGCACGGAGCAAAGGGAAAAGTGTCATTAATCACAGATGACATTCCTGGGTGCAGAGACAATCCAACAGAATCTACACAGAAATTAACAGCATTAATAAAGTAATTAGGCAAGATAACAGGGATACAAGGTCAACGTGTAAAAACCCACTGTACTTCTAGATATAGAAACAAACAGAAAATAAAGCTTATAGCAGATACTATTTATATTAATATCAATCCTCCACCATTTAAGAAACACAGTGCAGGATGTGTGAGGTCCCTACAGCAAACCCTGCGGAGCATGACTGAGAGAGATTAAAGAAAATGAAAATTGTAGAGGGACAGACCCTTTCCATGGATTAAAAGATGCAATATTTTAAAGACACCAATTCTTCCCAAAAATGACGTATGGATTCCAATTCACAATCTCTGGTTTATCCAGATTCATCTTACCTGCCTAAAAACGCTGTTTTCCAACTCAGTCTCTTATTAACTTTCATTTATTTTGTTTAAAGATTTACTCTATTTTGGAGAGGGAGAGCGTGAGCAGGGAGAGGGGCATAGGGAGAGAAAGTGCGTCCGAACAGAGGGGCGGCCTGCCTGCCTCCGGGGTTCAGATAAGCTCCCCGCACGATTTTTAAAGCCAGTGACTTACTTCCCTCTGGGTTTGGTGCAGAAAGAATGATGCTGTGGTTTTTCTTTACTTCTTCAACATACTGAGCTGTTTTAACTGTGCTGCTTCTGATCTCCTCAACCTAGGGCAGACACAAACAGCCATCACTGTTGTGGCAAATTCAAATCTGCTACCACTTTCCATTACCTAAAAAGGGAAGGATAAATGAACAATTACCACATGAAGAAAGAACAGCCTTTTTCCATTCTCACACTGATAATTATTTAATTGAAAGATAAAAAAATGTACCGTGTTAAGATCCATACCTCCATGACTAAGGTGGTATCAACTGACATTCACCAGCAAAACCTATCAGGTTGTAAAAACCTTTACAAGTGGGGCGCCTGGGTGGCTCAGTCGTTAAGCGTCTGCCTTCGGCTCAGGTCATGATCTCAGGGTCCTGGGATCGAGCCCCGCATCGGGCTCCCTGCTCCGCGGGAAGCCTGCTTCTCCCTCTCCCGCTCCCCCTGCTTGTGCTTGCTCTCTCCCCCACCCCCTCTCTGTGTCAAATAAATAAATAAAATCTTTAGGGGCGCCTGGGTGGCTCAGTCATTGGGCGTCTGCCTTCGGCTCAGGTCATGATCCCGGGGTCCTGGGATCAAGCCCCGCATCGGGCTCCCTGCTCAGCGGGAAGCCTGCTTCTCCCTCTCCCACTCCCCCTGCTTGTGTTCCCTCTCTCGCTGTCTCTCTCTGTCAAATAAATAAATAAAATCTTTAAAAAAAAAAAAAAGAAAAAAACCTTTACAATCAAGACCCAAGTGTTAGCACAGATGACATTCACTGGAAGCACACGGCCACGCACCCAGTGCTCCATGCGGTCGAGGTAGACTAGGCTACCCTGGCAGGAACACTCCACGTGGGGAGGCGTCTGCAGCCGATGGGGCCAAGCCTCCAGAGTCATGGTTTTTACCTCTCGTGATCTAAATTATTCAACACCTGTTTCAAAATGTAAGGTACTCACCAGCGTGATTTATCCAAATGGATCCACGTATCCATAATTACCACACTGGAAAAATAGTTTAAATGTTTACTGATTCATTTTAAAATAGTAATTATAAGATCATTCCACGTTGTGGTAGAAGTCCACATCCGAAACCTGCAAGTGTTCCCTTATAGGGCGAAAGGGACCTTGCAGATGGGGCTAAGAGTCTTAAGATGGGAAATTATCCTGGATTGTCTGAGTTGCCCCAAAGCAACCACAAGAGTCCTTACAAAAAGGAGCCGAGAGGATTAAATCTAGAAGAAGGGGGTGTGGTAACATCGGCAGAGGCTGGAGTGATGCACTTTCAGAGCTAACACTCTGGAGTCTTCTTCCCTGGAGCCTCCAAAAGGAGCCAGCCCCGCCAGCAGGCCCATTTCAGGTCTGGCTGGAACTGCACGATGGTGAATGCCTGTCGGGGGAAGCCACTCGGGTCGTGCTTCTTTGTGACAGCAGCGAGGAGAGACTAAGTCCACACACTTATTCATGAGAGACGGGGGAAAAGACAACTTCGTATCACTATGAAAATGGTCCTGACCACATGGACTCCTTGAAGGGGTCTTGGCCGCCCAGAGGCCCCAGTCCCAGCTCCAAAGCACATTTGGAAAAACCAAGTGTTTAGAGGAGAGTGTAACACAGAATTCTGGCTTCCTAGAAGGGCGAACGGCCGTGTTGCTAGGCCTGGAGGCGATTTCCATCCACACGCAATTTCTGTAGGACTTTATAAACTTTACACACTTGTAATATTATTACTAATTCATGTAGAAACAATGCATAAAATAAAAGCTGACTCTTTTAAACGTTTGCTAGTTCATGATGAAGGCGTAAACACACGCGGGATACTCTGGGTTCTGTGCACAGGCCGGCAGCTCCACCAGCCGTCCGGAAAGTGCCGTTTCTGCAGTAAACTCCGTGGTACACAACGGTCGGCAAGTAGAAAAGACACCATTTGGCCCCCCGCAGAGTTCTGCAGTCTCTCTGGCAGCAGCCCCAGTGGCCCAGAAAGGAAAGGGGGCTGTCGCGCTCCCAGCACGGTGCCAGGGGGCAGCCCGCGATCAGCGTGGTGCCCACCCCCCCCCCCGACGGCTAGGAGGGACACGGCACAGGATCTCTTTCTGTCCCTTACAAATCATCTTCACAAAGGGGACATTTCCTGGCCACCCGGTAGGGCACCGGCCAGGTGCAAAATCCTGTCTTTTACAATGTTCTAAGTGATATTTAAGATCTGAATGCCATACTCTAAAAACAAGTTTGTATTAACATCGTTGTCTATTTGTCTAAGAAGTCATTCCACAAAGCTTAACTGTAAAATGAAACAACTATTTAACGAGTGAAAACCTGAACTTCAGTTGGACTCTGCTGCTCCCGAGCACCCCCCCTCCAAGCACGGGCACCATTCTCGTGCCTCCATGGCACCACAGCCAACGTGGGTCGGCTCATGGCTCCCAGAAACCAAGAACCAGATCTGTGCCACTCTCTAAAGGACCAGGCGGCCCTCAGTCTGGAGACCACCACCAGTCCTGGGGCGAGGGCCTGTGAGACACAGACCTACCCTAGGGCGTGGCCGGGCTCCTGGAGGCAGCCCTCCTCCTCCTCCTCGGAGCTAGCGTCCAGCCCCAGCTCCCCGTTACGCCGGGAGCGGAAGGCTCCTCCCTGGGGAGGTCAGGGGCTCGGGGCTCTAAGCCACCACCCCCACCAACCCCTCCCCAAGCCTATCACCAGGAAGAATGGCTCAATACTACCAGATATGTTCAGAGCACGGGAAATTCTAGAGAACTTACGTCATCAAAAACAACTTTTTAAAATATTACTTTTGGTATTTTCCAAATATAACACACACACAGTTACACCGTGTTTAAAGAAGAAGTCCACTGGGCTTCATCGAACGGCTCTTACCTGATGGAAGAAATCATCCATGAAATGGTCCTTCTCAACAACAACACTTGTGTCCCCATCGTCATTTTTTCTACACTAAAATGGAAAATATAAAAAGGAAAATTCGGATTTTAGAAATGTCCCCACAGGTACAAACGCTGGGAGAGAAAGGCGAGTGGCTAGAGTGCGGGGCTGGGACAAGCCAGCGCTGTCTGTGGGGCCGGCCCACGGAGGACCCCGCGCGCAGCTGGGGCAGGACGGGGACAGCAGACAGCCCTGCCGGCAGCACGGCTGCTTCCTGGAAACAATGGAGGCACTTCCAAGAACTTAGTGACCACCAAGGTCAACATGACACAGCAAGTTTTATCCTCAAGAACTGAACCCCTCGTACTGCATATTTTCTATAAAGATTAAAAAACACACCACTGGCTAACTTTGCTAAAGCACACAATTTTCAAGGAACTTGCACATGTAGTAGCTGGTGTTCCTCATTTTTCCCTAAGTGAGTAACTCCCAGGGGCACCCACAAATAATCAATAAGCACTTTAATAAGGAAACAGTCAGTAGGAAGAAGGAAAGCGACTGGCCCGACCACTGGAAAGAGCCACAGTGATGCTACACCGGCAGTCAGGCTCTGTACATTTAAATCCCATCAAAGAATATTCTAGGGCAGTTCTCAAACTTGAGTTGCATGAGAATCATGGGAAGGCTGGGTCTCTGACTCAGCAGGTCAGGGTGGGGCATTCTGAACACTCTAGAACATTCTAACACAGTCTAGTGCGGCTGCTGGTCCCTGGACCCTGCGTAAAGAACCACATTCCAGGGAGGCAAACTCTGTGCCGGTGGAAGCCAGCCCTGGGAAGACAGCACCGGCTGTGTTCAGCACAGAGCACCGACCGCCCAGCCCAGGGGTCTCCTCCCTGAGCTCACCGTGGGCATCAAAGGCGTGTATACAGCATCCCCTACTGGGGAGAGCGGGACTAAGACACAAGGAAAGAAAACCTGCCAGAAAGACGCGGAGGGAACGGCTTTTGAACCATCTCCGTGAGGACACACTGGATGAGCCCGCTCACTGCCAAGCCCACTCACTGCCAACCCTGTGGAAGCTCAGGTGGCCGTGGGTTTCAAGAATTCTCAGAACCTTAGCAAAATGGAAGTCTTTACCCATTCCAAGTCTGGACTGTAGCTTTACTGATCTACAGCCTACAAAAAACTTGGAAACAAAATTCTACTAAAATTTAGCTAAGAAAAATGTGCAGTTAGTAAATGTTTAGGAAAGCATAGGAAGGCTTCCCTCTGCACCATCCAGGGCCCTCATGAAAGCAAGATTCGGCCTAAGAGTCAACAACAATCTCTCACCACCCTGAGGAGATCTCTAGATGTCACCTCTCTCAGCCTGGGGCCTCTTCTGGGCCAAGAAAAGCCACGTCAGTTAGCGGGGGCAAAGGGAAAAGAGAGGTTTCTCTGAGATGGACAGGAAGAGCTCACTCAGAGGAGTGGCTTGTAGGAGGGTATGAGGAAGCCCTAATCGCAGGGTCGCAGGGTGACACGGTGCATGCCGTGCAGACGAGACGAGCGGGGCAGACCAGCAGCACAGTCCACAAAGGGGAGGCAGGAGCACCCCACGGCATGAGCCTGCACTGTCCCTCTTGCTGGCGTGCACGCTCGCTGGGCTGGGGAGGGACCCCCTGGCTCCCCTCAGGCGTGGCCACACACTCCGTTAACCCTATTTATTATTCCCTTTGCCCTGACTCCCCAGGGTGGGGGCTTCCCGGTAATGTCCTGAGTTACACTGAGCCACCACCTTGCTCTCACATGACACCAGTTGTTGAGAAAGGCGCCTGGAATGCGTGCTACTGACAATGCTTGGTTTGTCTGTGTTAACAGGACAGGTATTATGAGTTGAACTGTGTCCCTAGAAAAGCAGACGTGAAAGGCCTAATCCCAGGCCTCAGCATGTGAACCACGGTGGGAACAAGGGTTTGTGTGGGTGACGATGAGGTCATCCTGGAGCAGGGTGGGTCCTTCACCCAACATGACCCCTGTCCTCGTAAGAGAAGACAGCCACCCAGGGGAAGAGGGCCACCAGGATGCCCCCAAGGACGGCCAGCCCCACTGGAAGCTGCAAGGGCAAGGAAGGAGCCCCCCACCGGTGCCGAGGGAGCATGGGCCTGCCATGCCTCCCTCTGAGACCTCTGGCCTCCAGAGCTGGGAGAACCCCTCCTGCCGTGTATCAGCCCCCGGTCTGTGGTACTTTGTTCTGACAGCCCAAGGACACTGACCCAGCCCGTCAGGGCTGCCTTCCATGCACTGGCCTCCCTCACTGATGAAGACGGTTTTCCCATTACTGTCAGCAGGAAAACAGTGTCGTCCAGATGTGGGTTCCAGTCTCCTTCCCGGCAGCGCCTGAACCTCCAAGTTTCTGTCTCCGGGTCTGTGAAACATGGGCTCCCTTGGCCCCACCTCCTTCAGAGACGGGCTGTAAGCACTTCCATCTACCTGTGTGACCGAAGGGGTCTCTCTGTCACAGGGCTGTGTCAACTGACAAAGGCTTTCATCAAATCATCCTAGTCTCAGTTGGGAGCAAAGCCGCACTTAAACTGGCCATCGGCAAGCAAGCTGCAGAAACAGACATCAAGGTGAGCAATACTCGAGGAAACAGAGTGCTGCTGACGGCTACGGAGAGCCAGGACTGCAGGAAGCACCCTTGCCAACCACCACCCACGGCCCGTGTCCGCGTGGCCACGTCACGCACTGGAACACAAACCACACGGTGAAGGGACGTGCTCAAGTGCTCAGGGCAAAGCAGTGCCGGGCCAGGATGTGAATCCAGGTCTGTTGGACTTTCCAAAGCTCACCATCAACAACTCCCCCACGATGACTCTGACCACAAAGAGCTGCCCTTCACCTCCAGCCCCAACACTCAGCCAATGGTCCCATTAACTATCCCCATGTTGCCAGGAAGAGGCCGAGGCACCAAGGACAGAGGGGCTGCCCTTGTCAATTTGACTCCAAACGCCCTTGCTCTTAAATATTCACCATCCACGCCTCAGAGGAAGAGCTTCCCCACAGGTCCTCCACTGCAGACAGAGCCCAGCTCCCAGGCCCTCGTCCCGACTCCCGGCGGCAGCCTCACCCTTCGCCTTCCAGAGAGCGTACACCTTACCCCACTCATCCTAACTGGGCCCTGTATCACTCTACTTCCCGGTGGGTATTCGTCTTCCCTTCTCCGCCGTGGGGTCTCAGGAGGAAACGGTTATGTCATGTCCAGCTCGAATCAGAACAACAGAATGAAGGAGCATCACCTAAGTAATGGCTTCCCGTGAACTGACGTGAACTTGATTTAGGAGTTAGTGCAGCGGTTCTCCCTGTGGCCCGGAGCACCGAGAGATGAGAAAGGCACCTGCCCCACTGGACTCTCACAGGGCTGCTCACGTCACACTGTTCTGAAAGTAACTGTAGGCTCACACATGGCAGTTTTGGTTTGCTTTCTGTGGAACACTGCAAAGCCACACAAGGAGAAGGAATACTACGGTGAGCCTCGGATGCGTCCATCACATGGTTCAACCGCCATCTCCCCGCAGCTTCACCTGTGCCCCCCACCCCCACTGCACTAGGTCACCCCAGGCAAATCCCACACAGGAGATGCCCGCTCGAGGCCCCACACAGCAGACAACTCCAGCTGCCACTGCAGGAGAGACCACACGGCCCACCGCGGTTCTCAGGGCGACGGTCCCCGACCTCACGCCCCCAGGGGGGCACGTCATGTCACTGCCACACTTTCACTGACCATACCCCACATGCGGTGGCCACCAGCAAACCAGACCAAGGAAGCCCAATGCGGCCTCCGCCCTCTGACCCGCGCGGCACCCCTGATCTCCAGCCAGCCCTGCAGGCAAGGGAGTGCCGTCTGCCTGCAGCCAGCAAAGAGCCAGAGGACTTGGAATGCATTTTCTCTTCTGTCTCCTGTCTTCATCCTTATTTTACAACCTCTACCTCTACTTCTTATTTCTAACAGGAATTCTCAAAACTATCAGGTAACTGGAGATAGGTTCCATCACTGTCTTAGGTTTGCCATTCCTCAGAAAGGGAAACCGAGAGATGGCAGACAGAACACTGCTACTCACAGGAGCACCTCCTTCAGTCCCTCCCGCTGGGACAGTGGAGTCCGAGCCCTGATCGAGGCCCGACCGTGGCTTTACTGTGAATAACAAAACGACTCTTGGCAAAGCAGTTTCTAAAAGCAGTGGGAACACTCTCCAATGTGACGTGTTTGATTTCCAAAGTGTCAAAGTGCAAGATAAACATTAGAACATCAACATTCCGTTTCTGTTAAATTTTAAAAGAGGCCCCCTTCAAAGTAGCGTATAAAAAATGAAATCCTCCGTGTGTGACCACTATTGTCAGGGGCACACACTGAGCAGCGTCCATGCTTGGGGACTGTTTCACAGACGCGAAAAATCTGTCCCTGGAATGCTCACTGTTTAGATTTCAATAGAAGCTGAACTATCACAAGTTAGTAGAATCCAAACCTGGATAAGACGCTGGCTTCTTTCTCCACATGCAGAGACACGAGGGCCTTGCACAGATAGTAACTGTGGGCACATAAATTACGTTTTTTTGAAATATATACAGCTGTTGTATCTTTGCTGCTAGAAAACATTAACTTAAATCACTTAAGTAAAAGAAAAGAGTGCCTGTAACTGAATATAGGTTGTCTCCTATATACAGCTGTCTCCTGGCATTTATATGTAACATGCCTTCTTCATATTTTTATATTATTACGCTTTACGCCCCAATGCTGTTTCACATTTTCGTACTTTCACTGAACGCTTGTCTCCACTGTTAATATCACACAAATACCTCTTACAGGTACTTAGACTTGACATCAACCGAATCGCCCTGCACAGATGCTTCTGCCATTCGACTTTCTCCCCGTGACGTGTTTAAAGGTTTCTCCTTACCTCTCCCTTTCGCTCACTGACACACTAGTCCTCCCTCAGTCCTTCACACAGCTCGTCCCCACCTCGGAGCCTTGGGGCTTCCGCCGGGGCACAGCTGCCCCGACCTGCCCGCAGCGGGCTTCTCCGCCTCCTTCAGGCCGCAAGCAGCCCACCCACAGCCACGCACCCTGCTCTATTTCCCTCAGAGCAAGAATGCACTTGGCTCGTTCCTGCCCCCCCCCCAAGTGTCCCGGCAGCAAGCACACCACCTGCCTTCCCACAGCTCGTGCATCGGGGCTGTGACGGAGCCGGGCCCCACTCAGAGGGCTGAGGGGAGCAAACGAAGAGAAGGGGGAGGAGACCGAGGTGAGGGTGGGGAGGGCAGAGGACCAGAAGCAGAGATGCACACGCGGCTGAGACAAAGCCGGTGTGAGCTGCGCGGAGCCATCACTTGCTGGTCCCTGGCTCCACTCCGCAGCAGGAGACCGGGCGGCACGTTTCTGCCCACCAACTGAGGCAGCGGTCTAACTTTGGGTAAATCTCCTCCCTTCTCTGGTGCAGCTAAGGGGTTTCTGTCCCTCGTGACCCAAAGGACCTCGAGGACAACACATTCCACTGTCATCTCCATCTTCCTCACCATGGGATCTTGAAACAGAAACACACAAATTCAATCAACACCTGGCACGTTCTGAGCACAACTGGCCGCACAAGTCGGCCCTGGAAAGGGTGAAGAGTCTGGAAGAAAACAGGGTGGCGTCGGTGCTCAGACACAGGAAGACGGCCATCTCTGGGGACCTGAGAGGAAAGCAGGGCAGGAAGATCTCCCAGGGGCGACGCCTGCACGCGCTGAGACCACAAGGCACGGAGGAGGGACGCCGCCTCAGAAACAGCAGGCAGCACCCGATGATACAGCCGAGACGGCCCGGGAAGCGCGCACCAAAGAGGAGACCCTTTTATGAACTGGCTCTTCGTGAACTGGTTCTCACAGGTTCTCTATTCCTTAAATTCACAACAGCCTTGAGGTTAAAAACAAGAAGAGTTAATCTGTGGAAATGTCAAAGTTTTGTTGTCTTAAAAAGAGACACACCATGGATACATATGAACATACTTGTGACAGTTAAGAATAGAGAACCCAGAGATTCCAACTGGGGCAACTGTGTCTATGATGACAAACGAAATATAAAAAGTTGGTGGGACTAAATAAACCATAAAGTTTTCAGTTATAAACATACGCATTTAGGAAGTCATAAATATACTACAAAATTCTTACATTTTAAGTTTCAGCGAAGTATTTAGGAAAAAAATGTTTTATTTTATAAATGGGAATCTGAATCTTTACACTAACATGCGCAGGCTGAGCTGTCAAAAAAATAACTTTTAAAATATCTGGGCAATTTTTCTACCCTTTAAAAAACTGCATTTGCAATTCATCACCTTGAATCCAGGGATTAAAACTACTAATTTTCTCATTTCCCTTAGGTCTACTAATGAAGACACGGAAGGACCGTGTATTTGTTTATTATCCTGTAAACAATACCCACAGTTGAAATTGTAGTTTCTCTATTCTTAACTATAATAATTACATCCATTTACATACACAAACTTTTTTTAAAAAGGCAATCATAACACACCTGGAGTCCCTGTCTCTCATAGAACAGGTATTCATCTTGTATTTACTTATTCATCCTAAGATGTTCTCCACCTTCCCTCCCTCCTTCCCACCCTGGCCATTTGCCTCCACACGTGCACCCACGTCAGATCTGTGTTTCTCTGCATCCTGCACACCACCTCCTAGAGACCAGGCACTCATGTGTCTGTTGGACAGGTGGTTCTTCTACTTCCTATAAATCAGAAACAACATCTTTCTGGGTTCAGAGTCTAGGAGATCTTGAACAAGTCACTTAAACTTTCTGCACCCAAATAAACTGGCTGCTCAAAAAGAGAATCATTGGTGGGGCTCCTGGGTGGCTCAGTCGTTAAGCGTCTGCCTTCAGATCAGGTCATGGTCCCAGAGTCCTAGGATCGAGTCCCACATCGGGCTCCTTGCTCCGCGGGAAGCCTGCTTCTCCTTCTCCCGCTCCCCCTGCTTGTGTTCCCTCTCTTGCTGTCTCTCTCTCTGTGTCAAATAAATAAACAAAATTTTTTTAAAAAAGAGAGAGAATCATTGGTTATAAGCAGCTAAATCTGAATTTGACAAATTGTACACACTAATATTTAGGTCTTTTCCAAGGGGAACCCTATCAGTGATAATCTTCTTCTCAGGAGAAAGCACTAACAGCTAATAAAGGAAACCTTTTGGAGGTTTCCAAAAACAACTGTTTTGCCAGGCTGGACGTTGTTGATGAGGCATGTTAACTACCAAATTAGAATTCACCTAGGAAAAAAAAAACACCAGCTTAGAAACAAGGTCATGAATAGATATTCAACTACTCCAAGAACTATCCGGAAAGGATACATTTCCTTAAGGAAAAATAAAAGTTTGACTTTTATATTGGATAATTTTCAGATGAGCTTTTAAATATTAAAAGTTATTAAGCTTTAAATATGTCAAATTCAATTTTAAATTAATATTTTACACTAGATAGAAGATTGCTTTCTATGACTTCCCGCAAGCATTAAAAAGCTAATAAATATTAATAGCACTTATAATTACATGGCATTTCCTCCCACCTCCTCCCAGAGTGTCACACACAGGGGATAATTTCATGTTTCACAATTTCTTCTATGAGTAAGCAAGAGAGATATTATTATCCCCAATTTATGTACAGGAAAATTAAGGTTTTGAGAGTTTTAAAAATAATTTGCCCAAGATTAGACAGCTCCACCAGGAGAAACTTTCAGCAGTCTGCTCCACAATTGCTCAGTGTCTTTGTCTAGAGCAGGATGGTACTGGACTAGAGAAGGCCACTTCTAGCTCTGAAATTCTAGATCAAGACAGGTCACATGTCCTTCACGCTGCAGCAGAGACAGCTGGAGTATACATAAGCTTCAACAGTAGTAAATAACTACCCGATTTATTTTTTGCTAATCAAGCCAAGAAAAGCTGTTTATATAGTCCACTGACAGATCTTTCTTACTATCCCCCAATATTACATCTATTCGGAGGTCTTTTGTTTGCTAAGTTACAGTTCTCCTGTTCAGATGCATTCAGCATTTCTTCCCTCAACAAATATTTGAGCTCCTCGTGGCACAGAAAGACATTCTATGGGGTGAGATTTGCTACGCTGAACATGATGTTCAACTGCAGAGATCAGAATATTGGCCATTAACGAAAAGGGAAGGAAAACATCGCTATGGAGAAAGGCTCTTGGAATGAGTGTAAAGCCTAATTTCTATGATCCCAAGGGAGAGTCATCCTTTGCCTTTCTGAAGCAGGCTGCCTCATCAGATGCACAGAACATCAGTAATGATTAAAGGGACTATTCCCTCTACTTTCCTAAAAATGGCCTATAACCAGGTGCACTCCAGAGGCAAAGGAGAGAAGCAGTTAAGTCACCACATGCAACGGACGCCTTGGGCAACGGGCCCAGCGCCCGGCTCTGAGCCGGCCTGGCTGCACAGGGCGGAGGCTTTCCCGGCGCGGTGGGATACAGGGCATAAGCACTCAGCATTAATTACTTGCC